AGACATCTAGTCCGACTAGGTCTTCGTCGTCGTCGTCCTTGAGGGTTGATGTCGTTTTTCTATCGTTCGTCGCTCATTGATTGCATGTCTTCCTCACAGTACGCGCCCAGCGTCGGCAATGAACCGGGTAGACGAACAATTCCTCTGATTATGGTAGTATCTCACGCGCTCGTGTACATAGCTTTCCTCGCGGTGCCAAACGGTTCAACTCCACTTGGAGAATATGGGCTCGCTTGCTGTTGTACTTTCTCTTGTTGGCCTCGCTTTCTCGTCTTATTAACCCGTATTGCAATGATGTTTCCTTGTTATGATGAGGATGATGATGACGAGGTGCCGGCCGAATTTTTTTCGGAAACGTAGTCGGTTCGCTGCATGTTTGCACTACATCTTGTCCTGTCGCATTCTGCGGACAGTCCGTGAAGAATATAGGCGGCTCTCCTCTCTTCAGGTGTAGGTCCGGCCATGAACTCAATTTTCCTACAGTTTTGGTGATGAATATGTCCCGGTTCCATTGGGGCCGATTCCTATCCGCGTCTTGACATGATTGTGGTCCCCCCGTTGGACTCCTCTTCGACCGGCTTCAATGATTGTATGCCACACCCACTCGAGTCGTCCATGGGAGCTAACTTCCGTAGTGCTGAGCCCGAACTCAGGGCTATGACGTAATTGTTGCATCCTTGGGCATCTGTGTGAAGTTCTCTTTGACTGATGAAAGTTCCTTGGTTTTTCTCAAGGCGGCCTGCGGATGGTCGTGAAATTGTTTGAAATCATGCTTAAACCCTATAGATGGACTAGTATCGTCACGCAAGATGGGATTCGAGGGGAACTGTTAGGGGTGTCAAAGCGGCGGAATTTGGGGCCAAAAAAACGTCCGGTCCATTCGGCAAAATTTGAGGGGGGCACGCGGATTTGGTTCTTTTTTGGTTCTTGAGAATCCCGCTGTTAATACTGAATAAACTATACATCAAGTCAATTTGTTTGTACAGGTAGCTCTGCGTCCACACAGCAGGATGGCTCTTCATGCGTTACACACACCTTGATACAGGTCCAATAGAGGTGACTATTGGATTGGATTCTCTTGAAGTTAAAGGGCGGACGAACAACACCAAAAAAACATGGTTCTTTGGGCTCTTTGCTCCACGCCCAAGGCGACCTTTGCTCCTCTTGAAAAAGCGACCCAATAGCCCTCTACCTTGGGTTTACAGCTATACTACACAACAAACCGCATCCGAATCGCATCAGCCAACCACGAGATCTACATGTCTGAAAACGGCCCCTCCAGTGGGGCTGCAGCACCCACGCCAGCAGACCCCCCCAAAAAAAAATCGAGATCGACGCCGTTCGGCAGCAGGAGGCGCGCCCAGCGAAAGCTGAAAAAAATCAAAACTAAGTTTGAAGAGAGGACGGGGATGTCTGTGGCTGAGGCGTCAGCAGCAGACAACACCCGGCGCGCTATCGAGCGCGGCGGCATCACCGCCGCGCAGAAAGCGCTGGAAAGAACGAAGGAGGAGCTGGCCGAAAGTAGGAAAAGTGAGGAAGAGAGCAAAGCTGGTTGCAGCATGGCTCTGGAGTTTGCGCGCGAGAAAGACGAGGAGCTCAAGTCGGAGCGGGCATGGAGACAGCAGGCCGAGCAGGAGAAA